ACGTTTACCTTTCGAGTTCCCCGTTTATTTTATTTGGGGTATTCCTATCTTCCCCCTCCCCAATTGTGATTATGTGTATTTCAATGCCTTGAAATTAATGCCTTTTGACTTTTTTGGTGCATGTTACACGTAGTTTAAATAAATTTATAGCTTATGAGTATCTGAAAACAAAATCACTGGATAATCTTCGAGAAAACCTTCTTTTAGAAGTCTGTGATGTTTAATGTCATTTAACTTTCGACTTTGACCAGCGGCCATGATTGTCAAGTTCAAAACAAAAACAGCCCCATTATGTAACTAATTATTCTGCTGTAGTACCTAATTGTCTAAACAACATATTTTTAATAAGTTGTAAACATAATTTAATTTTATTATGTTGTCTTGTTTATTGTTCTTGCAAAAACAATGGTTTGTATTGAACTAACTTTTGCTCGCGACTTCACTCGCGTTCAACTTTGGAGCCCTGTTTTAACCTTTTTGGGGTCACCTTTGAAAAATCCTTTCTCAGTTAATGCCTAAATCATAAGAACTGCATGCATTTTAGATCAGTCAGTCAATAGTGGACAACTTTATGTATGTTTTTTAAATATTTTAATTTGTGTTAACGATTATCTGGAAGCTAAATATCCAAAGAGCGTTGAAGCGTGCTATGCTCGGAGTTTCCCAGCGTGATCGAATCAGAAATGAGGAGATCCGTAGGAGAACCAGAGTGACTGACATAGCCCGCAGAATCGCTAAAATCAAGTGGCAGTGGGCGGGGCACATAGCTCGGAGAGCTGATGGCCGCTGGGGCAGGAAAGTTCTTGAGTGGCGACCACGAGCCGGAAGACGTAGCGTGGGCAGGTCTCCCACTAGGTGGACCGACGATCTGGTGAAGGTCGGCGGAGGTGCCTGGATGCGAGTGGCGCAGGACCGGTCTTTGTGGAAATCCTTGGGGGAGGCCTTTGTCCAGCAGTGGACGTCTTTCGGCTGAAACGAACGAACGAATGAACGATTATCACAGACCAATTATTAAAGATAAATGTTAATGAATCGAGATACAACAGTTTTCCACTAATGATTTCATGGCTTGAACGTAGGATTTCCCCCCAAGTTCAAAGGTTTTATATGGCGGAAATATTTTGTATTCACTTAGGAAATTATATTCTTAAGGTACCCGTTAATATGTAGTTGACAGCACATCAGATTATAATTTTTATTGCAAAATACCGTCTTTACCAACCACGTAAGATGCAATACCACAGTATGTCGTCTGTACAGAGTAACTTAGTATCTTTTTATAATAAAATCATTAGTTTTGGATAGACATTAAGTGAGGACAGTGACCTCATACACATCATAAAATAAAAATATCTAACTAAAGATTCACATGGCTCAATAAAATTGACAGGAACAATGTAAAAAAAAAATAAGTTCCGAAAGATTTTTTAAATTATTATTTATTATATTGCTTATTTTGGTGGTGACGGCAGAGTAGAATACATTTGTCACCAACCCCTACTCTTCCCGCGGGTGTCGTAAGAGGCGACTTAGGGACTACACATCAAACAGAGAATGGGCAGCAGCGCTCTCTGAAAAACATCAATCTTTTAAACTGCGATCTCCAACCCGCCTGCCTAGCGTGGAGATTATGGCAAAACCCTCCACTATAGTGGAGGAGGCTCATAGTCCAGCAGTGGACTGTAAAGGGCTGTTGATGATGATATTGCTTATTTTGAAGATTTCAACTTCTTTCTCTGTGGGAAAGTTGTTGCGTTAAAGCAATAGAATTTATCCTTTTTGTATGATCACCCAACAATGGGTTACCCCATAAAGGTTTGGAAAAGCGAAAAAACTGCGTCAGCAAGTCGGCGATGGACAATACGTTGGAGTGAACGAGCTCATACCTCAACTTGATTTTGTTGTGAACGAGGCCTTAAAGCACACGTTGATTTGACTGAACCAAACTTATTATGCTTCAACCACACCAACGCGTGCAGATCACGGCGCGATCAAAGACTAATTACAGGTCGCATGAACTGTCATAGGTCGGGCTATCTATCATTGGCCTTTGATCGCGCCTGCGATGGCGATCTGCACGCGTTGGTTTGGCTGAATCTTTATTTCATAACTAAACTCGACTGTCATTTGTTTCAGAAAACCGTCTAGCTTTACCCCGTGCGCAATGTACAGCGTCCTGGTGTACATAGCATACGCATTTGTACATTTGTAGAGAATTTACCAAGAAGTTAGGGCCCTCGCCCACTGCTTTTACGAAACGCGCGACAGCATCGCTACTAACGCGCGATAGTCGCATTTGCAACGCACTACAAAAGCACACAAAAGTTATGCCAACGCGCTACTAACACGCTACAGCAGCGCGACTGCATCACAACAAAAATTCGCTGTTGGCGAGGGTCCTTAAGGATCTTGTTGTGAACAAGGCTTTGAACTCAACTTTGACTGTCACTTGTTCCAGAAAACCGTCTAGCTATACCCCGTGCGCAATGTACAGCGTCCTGGTGTACATAGCATACTACGCGTTGTACACGGTGTTGCTCGCCGTCGCGGGCCTCTGGTGCTTCGACGAGTGCGCGCCCACCGACGAAGAGGAGCGCGACTTCGGCCATTACAGCGCCGCGCCGCACTGACGGGCTGTAAGTAAAGTCCGGTCGCGGAACACATAGAATTTCGTCCAACGACCCCAAGCTATTCTATTCGTCCGGTCGCCGAGCAGATAGAATTTCGTACAATGACCCCAAGCTACCCATCCTTATCGTTCGTCGCGGCTGTGCGACGGCCGCAGTGAGTGTGCGAGCGCAACAGCAATATAATTATTACGCGCGAACGATAAGGATGGGTAGCTTGGGGTCATTGAACGAATTTGCGAAATTCTATCTGCTCGGTGACCGGATGAATAGAATAGAAAATTCAATCATCATCATCATCAACAACATCATCATCATCATCATCATCATCATCATCATCAACATAATCATCATCATCATCATCATCATTTCTGCCTTAAGACGTCCACTGCTGAACATATGTTCCTACAATGATTTCCACAAAGGCCGGTTGCTAGTGACCTGTATCCAACGCCTTCTTGAAAAGAAACCTTGCTAGAAAAGTCAACGTTCTGCTTTAAACTAAGCAAGTACAGTGGAGTAACAGTTAGGGATAGAGATAAAGCAGAGCAACTGTTTTACGTCGGGAAATGTTGGGTATGCGCAAAACTTTTCCTGATATCCAATGGGAACAACTTGCTCGCTGACTCGCTAACATAGCCCGACAGATTAGCAAGCTGAAGTGGCAATGGGCAGGGCACATAGTAGGTACGCAGAACTGACGGCCGATGGAGCAGCAAGGTTCTGGAGTCCTATGGCTGAGAGGATGATGATGATGAATGGGGACAACTAGTGGGTGATATGGGATTCTTCCTGCTAGAAGGGTGGGATCTACCCACTAAAACACGACGTTGTCCACCGGATCACATTGCCTTAACATTTTTTTTTATTGTGTTAGCGTCTGTTCTGGTTCGATCTATTGTGATCGCCACTTTTTTCCTTACAGTTCGCAAAAAAATATTAATGTATTTTACTTTTTACAATACTTTGTCTGAAATACCTATAGCATTTTTTTAAATAACATCTAAACCACAGTATAGTTCGACAAGAAACATGTAGCGTTTTGCTAAAGCTCAATTAACGAAACAAACTCACATACACAAACATAGCATGTCAGACACATCACCAGATACGTGGCCTACAGGATGGGATTTTCATAATTCATTCTGTGCATTTATTGCGTGCTGTTTGAATGAAACGTGCAATTCTCAAATTATGTTGTTCCGTTAATAAATGTAACAATTAACCGATTCTTGTGAAGGAAATGTACACAAATTATCACTATTTTATTGGTTTGGTAAGGGATGTAACGCGATTTTAAATCATACCCAAATCACTTTTCGGTCAAAAAGTTTCTCGTCCGTATTCACAAACATTACTATGATTTATTTATTTATTTTAATTACACAGGTTTATACTGTCTCACCGTGCGCTTGGACGCACAGACGAACTAATCACAAAGCTCTACTCAACGCTGTGCATTCAATTTTCTGCTTCACTTAAGCAAGCATCGTTTGTAAATACTATAGTTTTATTTCTATGTTGTCACTGTTAATGCCCAAATCTCAAGATCTGTCACAAGCATATTTTTGACTTATAAATAAATAAGATAATATAATTTCAACTTATCCTTTTGACTAGACCCAAACAAATGTGTAGGTAAAACAAATATCTTAATAGACATATTATTGTTTCTGTTCAAAATAAATCGATATTTCCTTGCGAATTCAGTGACTTTTAACCTCAGTAAGATTTGCATTAATTTTGTATCTTTGTTTCCATATAACCATCTGTCTTTGAAATAAAAACGTCTAGGAATATTTAGAGAGGCACAACTTGAGCTAAACAAAAATTTTAAATGAAATTTTAAAATCTACGCACGGTGGATGGTAGAGTAAGTACACTATAGAGCGCGCTATCTTCAAAACTTTTTTAAATGTAAAAAAATATGATAAGTAAATTCTAATTTTAACAACTTTAAAAAGATAAGTGGAAAAGAAAAAATAATGGGGTGAAAAAATTAATAAATAAAAACATAATATTATTATCCTACTAAAGCAAGTTCAACATGAAAAATTTCACTTTTAACATGTGTTACTCTGAAAAACATGCAAAATCTATTTAAAAAAACTTCAAAAAATGCCTTTTCGAGATTGTTGACGGTTAAAATTATTTCCAGCGTAGAATTATTGTTTGAACGGAACGAATTAGCTTACCAGCATTTATTAAATTCGGTATTTATTTGCACAATAATGAATGAACACGAAACGTCATGGAATCCAGCCTTCCATGCCTTCCACCGGCGGATGGACCAAGGCCACAGCCCCTCTAGACCTACTTACATTATGGCATGCCGCCTCTAGTTCAGTTTAGTACTCTATGTCGTCTTGCGCGGTCGCAGCGCACTGGCACCGCTCTTACTACAATCGAGATAGAGTTCAAAATTAATTAAAAAAATATATTTGTTGTTGTTTAACCTTAGATGAACCAGTTACTCTGTATATATGAAAATTAGTTCTGGCATCTTACTTCAGTTGGTCGTAGGCCTTTCTAAGGAGGTTTTCAGGCGGACTCACGATTAATCTCTGTAAATGTGATGGAGCTACGATAACGAAGTGATAAAGCAAAATGTGTAACTCTACTAATTTGTGATTTGTAAATTAGTTAGAGATAAAAGTGATTTTACTCGTGGACAATAAATATATGGTGAGTATTAAGATTATTTAATTTATTTTTATAATTAGATGTGCACGTTTGTGATACATCGTCCCTTGTCGCATAGAGGTATATTTTTTACACAAAATTACATAATAACATTTTAATTAATATTATAAATCGCAAAACACAATTTTCTGTGTGTAAATTATTATTATTGTAATGATTATTACAATCGGTAAAATCATATTTAAATAAATAAAATAATAGATGCAAAGCTTTACTTGAAAAAGAAAATGTTTTGTGAGTCACTGAAAAAACACAATCAATACTTTTTTTTAATCGTGTTCATAACACATAAGATCAAAGCTTTTTAATCTTAATAAACATTAATAAAACAAATTTAATTAATTAAAGGTAATATAAACAAATCGTTTGTCAACTATCGGAAGCATACTGCATTAGCATCATCCTCACTACACCATAATCAATGGTGATGCAATTTCCTCATGTGCCTACCGACATTAATTGAACAAGTTTTGTTATTAAATAGGTACCTACTAATTTTCCGCGAAAAATACCTACATAAATACTAAAGGAAAAACATCGAACGGTCAGGGCGGGCCGCCTATAGCTGCCTGAATATTTTTTGATAGTGGGTAGGGAAAATATTAATGATATTTGATTGAGGCTTTTGTCTTTTTCTAAGTTATAGGTACCTACCTACCAATTAAGTTTATTTTTTCTATACTTGATTTGAATTACTGATGAAAGCTGGAATTAAGCGTATTGAATGAAAATGAAAATGAAAAAATGAAAATGAAAAAATGAAAAAATGAAAAATGTTTATTTCGTTAACAACAACAATTAATAGGATTTGAGGTGGACTCTTTCTTGTAAGTGCAATGGCACCTGTGCCAGAAGGAGTCGCTCTCCCTTAACAAATTAACATTAAGTAACATTTTTTTTATCATAACCAAAAAGTAACAAAATCACCTCATATTTTAGGTTGCGTTTGGTGTGTGTAATGAAAAAAAGTACCTACTGAATTGATAGGTAGCAATAATCAATCATGCTGATTTTACTTCTATTGTTTGTAGTGTCAATCCGTAAGAAATAAGGCTGAAGTTGGTAGTAATTTTAAAAGGGTATACTCAAGAAAATAACATGTTCAGCTGCTGCCCATATAAAGAAATTAATTGAATAGTTTCCAGTGGACAAAGAATTGTCATTTGAATATTCAATTTCCTGCTTGTGGATGTTAAGAGATGTGTGTAATACGCAGTGTATCTAGATAATATAAATAATAAAACAAGGATGAAAACAATAAATCTAACCTATTATGAGTTACATTTCCTGACCTTAACAGTTAGCTCTAACGTCCACACGTTTGAAAATATTAATATCCATATAAATAAATATTTTTAGTAACCAAAAGAATTACAAAAAAAATGCATTTATTCCAATATTTTATGAAAATGACACCACTAAAAAGACACAATTGCGTAGCATAAGAGTAGTTTACACAAAACAAAGATTTTTAACATAATTGATTTTCTTTAGGTGTTATTTTTTTAAAAATAATAGTGTAGACTACTCGTTGTTGAAAAGCCAAATAAAATAAATATTTTATTTTCTTAATAGTGCATGAAAAACTACGTCAAGAGAACTTCATATTTCATGAAAAATTGCTGTAGGTAATTAGGAAGTTCAACATCACACCGCTCGAATGTAATTACTAATTACATTCGAGCGGTGTGATGTTGAACTCCTGCGCATCTCGCGTCATAGATATTATCTACAAACACTACTATAACAAAGGCTACGTCTAGGGGAAATCTTATGTCTGGTATAATGTATTGTTATAGGAAAACCTGAGGCGTCATGGAAACCTGCTGGAGGCAATTTATGAAATGTAAACATAACAAAGCATGTTCAATCATCTGTAAACATTACAGAACAGCTTTATAAAGAATATAATTAATTATTTCAAAATAATAAAAAACTGGACTTGAAAATATAAAAGAAATTCAAGTTTCTTTTTTACAATTATCATTTTCTAATTTTGAAACTCTGAGCTGAGTTGCACCACGTAACTTTAACGGTAAATATAACGATAACCATGTATGAAATTTGACAGATTTTTTGAAAGTAAGATGGTGCAAACCAGCCTTACTGTTTCGTTTAATAATATGCACCTACATATAAATTGAGTGGCCTGAATTTGAATCTTATCAAATAAAATAATAGCGAAGTAGCAAGGAAAATAGCAGTAAAAGTAAATTAATTACTATGATCCATTGTGTGCAAACACGTGTACGTTTAATCAAAGCAAAGGCTCTACTTTGTTTTTATATTGTTGTCTATAAATAAATGAGACAGACATACTAACATAATTCTTCAATGATTAAAAAAAAATCAAATTTTCACCAATAAAATTAATCTAGACTAGCTTTTGCTCACAGATTCGCTCGCGTAAAATTCAACTTGTTGTACAAAGACCGTTAAAAATTAAAGCCTTTGAGTTGTTTTGATGTATAAACAAAGTACTACTTAATACTGTAAAGTTTCATGAAAATTCGTTCAGTAATTTTTGCATGATAGAGTAACAAACATACATCGACACAAACTTTCGTTATAATTAGTGTGATAAGACTGCATTTAATTTTAACTTGTACCTACCTAGGCGAGAAAATTTAACGTGTAAAAAATATTATTGTTATGAAATACAATATGAAATTAAGATACAGGCCATTTCATAACACCATTTTCGTGTCTACGATTTATTAATACATCGAAATCGATCATCAATTCGAAGCAAGGCTGAACATAAAAAGGCATACGAAATGTATAATGTATAAACTACGTATAAAAATAGTTTTCGTTATTAATTGCGGAATATTAAGAAGCCTTATGATTGCGACACTAGAGATTTTAATCAAAAGTTACCTTGAAACAAAGTTATAAGTTGACGAGTGAAATATGTATAAAATGTATTCAGTGTGTTGCAACCACGTTATTTCCAATGTTCAACTAGCAGCTTCATTTTACCAGCAGCATTGTACTCGTAGGCTGGGTTGCACCACCCAACTTTGACCGTAACTTTGACGATAACCGGTGCTTTTTGTATTGATTTTGACAGCTTTTTGACGTTTGTCAAAGTTAAAGTAAGATGGTGCAACCCAGCTTTAGATTAGGCGCAGACCACCGATTTTAAGTTGGCTAATAGTTGTGCCCGATTTTAAATTGTATGAAGAATCGGCCAAATCAAATCGGTGTAATGTGTGCACTTCCATACATGCCCATTCTGACCAACTGCCCGACTAAACTATCGGCCTACGAAAAATCGATGGTCTGCGCCTAGGCTTAGCTCTTTTGTAGACATTCGTTTTTTCACCGGACGATGGACTGTCAAAAAACGGAATTCGTTTGTTTTCTGTCAACTTTCTCGCCGGACCTTGTATGACCGATGCATGTGCACACATTCATTATCCTACTAATATTAAAAATGCGAAAGTTTGGATGTCTGAATGTCAGGATGTCTGGATGTTTGTTACTTTTTCATGCATAAACTACTGAACGGATTTTGATGAAACTTTACAGTATTATTGTTTATAACCCAGAATAACATATAAGCTATAATTTATGACGATCTGTGACAAACTAAATTTCACGCGGGTGAAGCCGCGGGCAAAAGCTAGTATACCATACACCACCGATAAATCAGGCAAAAAACAAGCGGCCTTAAATTATTATTTTTTTCTTCAATGTTCATGTTAAATTAATAATTTTTAACGTAAATCTATATTGTCATTTCCATTTATTTGTATTTTCGAATAAAAATCCTTAATATTTTTGTCCTGAAAAAAATAGTTTTCAATACGAAGCGGATATTTCACCGCATAAAAAAAATCTGATGGATCGAATTTATTTTTCTGATTGAATATAAGAAATGTCCATAGTAGAAAAAAAATAACTTGAAAATTAATAAAAGTCAGGTACATATAATAAAGCTTACATTGTACCGCAAAATGTGGTTAATAAAAGTGCGTTTTGGGAAAAAAAATATACAACTTTATGTGCTGACGCCTGTATCTACTCATTATTTATTCTACCTTCTCGTGTCAACTCAGAAACTGTTTTGGTTAACATCGACGTAAACATGTTAATGTATATTGCTTACTTATTGTTGCTAACTAAGTCTGCTTGTTTGTTAACGTCAGTCAGACATAGTCTTAGGTCAAAGATTAGAAGCAATCTATTGTGACATTGTGATATGTAACAATACTAGGGTCATATCAGGTCACCCTGTTTGAAAAATATTTTGACATGAGTTAAATGTAGATTTGACGACTGTTTTTCAAATACCTAAAATATAAAACAATTGATGAATAACATACAAACATGGCGTAAATTATTATTATTTTAACACTAATTTTGTAGCCATGTAGAATCTACATTGTAGATATTGATAAAAAATAACTCAAATTTTTGTTTTTTCGAACAAAAGGATAAGAAATAAGAATTTTAGGTCATATAAAGAACCTTAGACCTAAAAACAACAACCTTGAAAACAAACGAGAGCGAGCAGTCTTAATTACAAAATAAATTATATGAATTTGATTCATTGACTAAAATGTAATTAGGTATAATTAATTTTCACTATTTCCCGCCAAAATGCGTAATTACGAAGCAATAAAATCTGAACATGTAGGAACGACTGCACATAAAGCTTAATAATGTGGTTCTTCTGTAATTGTAATAGATACTATTTTTCAACGAGAATGTATAGTCCAATGTTCTGTCTGATCATGTAGGTAACATAAAAAACTTGTTAATTCGTTTAAAAAGTTTTATTTATGTCTCCTCAAATAAAACGTTAATTACAAGCAATGTGTATTTAACACAATACTCATTCTAAAAGCATCTTAAAGTACACACATTTTTATTCATTTGTATCATACATAATACAACAGACTTGTTCCATATAAATAGGAAATACGAAACCCTGGCCTACTTCACCTATGAACTGCCTAGAACATTATAATTAA